AACATTCAAATGCTCAAAATCTTTAGTGTAAATGTGAAGCAACTGACCAACTTATGGCATGTAACTTGTTAAGAACAAAATGTTTAGAAATAAAAAAAATCCAAAGGGTGAGATCAGACTGGTTAACCTTCTCTTCTCTTAACACACTAGGTATGGGCCACAAAACATTTCTGGCTTCTTCTGGCTGCACTGCCTATGCAACTAATCATAGCTTATATACTGTAAGTCAACACATCCCAGACTCTCAAACCAGTGTAACGTTATAACTAAATGAAACTGTAACGTTACATAAACAACAATAATCCTGTAACCTGTTTGTAGACAACGGGCAGCCAGCGGCACGTAAATGATTAACGTTACGTTAATCGACCACCACAAGTTTGCCAATTAAACAAACGCTCATTCATATTTCATAAGAAAGACAATCGGAGTTAACCTCCCGTAACGTTAGGTAGCTAAAGCAATAAGCAAGCTAACGGTAGATGGTCAATGCTGAGCTAAACATGTTTACTCACCTATCAGGGTGCGTTTTCAGATGCCTGATAAAATTAGATGTGGTTGAGCCAGAATCTTTTATCGTGATACTGCATATTTTGCATTGAGCGCTTCTTTTGAGCGCGTCTTGTTTGAAGTTTTTGAACCCAAAGCTAACGATGAATGGCACAGCGACTGCCGGTGCAGTCGAACTTTTTGTTTGTTTTCCTCTCATGTGTGGTCGCGCGCGCGCTGCCAGCAATAGGCCACGTAGTACGTGGTTACGTAGGCAGGCTGTATCGGAGGGAGGGGAACAACAGCGAGCTCATCAGACGTTTCCTAAAAATAAACATTGTTCACGAGTCCCGCAGCTCGTGTCCGAGTCGAGTCTGTAGTCTTTCGAGGACGAGTCTCAAGTCGAGTCTGAAGTCACTGTGTGTGGGACTTAAGTCGCACTCGTCTCAAACTCGAGTCCCCATCTCTGACACACACACACACACACACCCTGTCCTCTGTTTCTGACGTGCTCTCTGCTCGGCGCCGCTGCGGATTGAAGATGAAGAACGCGCTGAATCTGATTATAACAAGACTGAAGCGAACACGAATTTGTGTAGCCTAATCGCACATTTTTAGGGGGGCTAGGCAGAAGTTTAGGGGGGCTGAAGCCCCCCTAAAAAGGGCCTAGTGACGCCCCTGGTTTAAAGCATTTTGAACTAAGCTGTTACCTAGCCTTCTTAGGGCCTGCAATACTGTTCTTAAAGATTCAAAGATGCCGCCCACCTAGAGGGAAGCAGTCATCTCTATTATTCCTGAAGAGGGAAAGGATCTTTCAGACTGTGGATCATACAGACCTATTTCGGTGCTAAATGTTGATTATAAGTTATTTATGGCTATTTTTGCTAAAAGATTAGAAAAAAATACTACCCCAGCTCATACATACTGATCAAGCCGGTTTTATTTTACAAAGACAGACGCAGGATAATATTAAACGCTCATTGCATTGCATGACCTTATGCATCAAGGCTTACCAAAAGGGCAAGCCTTGAAGCAGAAAAAGCCTTTGACTCAGTCAGTTGGGCTTTCTTATACAAAGTTCTTGAACGATTTGGCTTTCATTAAAAATTTTCTAATGTCATACGGACACTCTATGACAAACCATCAGCTCAAATAAAAATGAATGGCAATCTTTCAAACACTATTACATTACACCAAGGCTCACAACAAGGGTGCCCCATCTCCCCTTTACTCTTTGCTCTCTATATCGAACCCCTCGCACAATGGCTGAGACAGACAGAAAGTATCAGGGGAGTTAATATAAAAGGGGAGGATCATAAGGTAGCTCTATATGCAGATGATATCTTGATATATTTAAGTGACCCTTCTAATACATTTACTGATTTAATGAACCTCATACAAAAATTTGGTAGTTATTCTGGTTATAAATTGAATGTACAAAAGACTCAATTGTTGGCTTTTAATTACTCCCCTCCAACATGTCTTACTGACAAATTTCAGCTAAGCTGGGATAATCGTTCAATGAAATATTTAGGTATAAACCTACCAAATAATGTTTCACGGCTTGCAGAGATGAACTATGGCCCACTTTTGATAAAAATTAGAGAAGATATCAAAAGGTGGAACTATGTTTCCTTTCTTAGTCTGAGTCATAGAATTGATTGCGTGAAAATGAATATCATTCCACGATATCTTTTTTTATTTCAAGCCCTTCCTGTAGAAATCTCCTTAAAAGAGTTTTCAGAAATAGATAAAATCATCTCCCGGTTTATTTGGCAAGGGAAGAAACCTAGGGTTAAATTTAAAACATTGCAGCTCTTGAAGGAGGAGGGGGGAATGGGGTTACCTTATTTTAAAGGATATTACTACGCGGCCCAAATTAGACCCTTTATTAACCTATGTTCTCCAAATTTTCAAACCAGGTGGAAAGATATTGAACTTTCAATCATGAAGGACCCTCCGATTCACGCATTACTGGCCTGTACGAACCTAGACAAGCTTATAAAGGATACTCAAAATCCGTGGATCAAAACCCAATAAAAAATTTGGAATAAAGTAAAAGGCTAGAGTATCAGTTAAATGATCAAATACAGATAATCCAATGGTGTGCTTTTGACCCTGGCTTCAGGCCAAATTTGACGGATAATCGTTTTAAATCATGGATTTCCAAAGGTATAACAACTTTCTATTCACTCACAGAAAATGGAAAATTAAGGGATTTTGAGGGTCTGAAAAATGAATACCATCTTGAAAACTCGGATTTTTTTCCGATACCTGCAAGTACGCAATTATTTTGAACATAGTATTAAACCTAAAACAGACCTTAATGACCAAATATTAAAAACAATTTTGATTGCATATAAAAATGCTACTGTTAAGGGGGTTATTTCTAAGTTTTACAAAGGTTTCTTGGTGAAAAATACCCACTCCACAGGCTACATTAAAGAAAAATGGGAAAAGGAAAGCAATGTGTCTATATCTACAGATGACTGGTTAAATATATGTGAGTTTCAATGGAAATGTACAAACTCTCATACATGGCGTGAGTTTAATTGGAAATGTCTTATTCGTTTTTTTATAACACCGAAGCAAAAAGCACATTTTGACCCATGTGGTGCTAAATGCTGGAGGCACTCGGGAGGCTGATCACTGGCATGTGTTTTGGGAATGCCCAAAGATCAAACCATTTTTATGGAATGATATTCCGGACATTATTCAAAAGGAATTGCAAATTGTATTTGCAATTGCGTTTTCAATTTGTGGACGCATAAAATGTGACATAATCCAAACGCAATTGCAAATAGCGCATTACCATTTGCATTTTCGTTTAAGCGAATGCACACTGACTGCCAAATTTCAAATGGAAAAGCGAAGTCCGTTTGCAACTGTGTTTCCCATATCTTACGAGTTTTGGTCCTGTCATATTTAAATAGCAATTTCAATTACCACGTCTGCTTTTTCACTTTCTCAGTGTCGCGTATGTAGCCAGCCAAAACTCAAATGGAATCACAATTCCCTTAGTATTTGCATTTCCGATGCCTACACGGAAACCTGTCAATCAGTGTCGAGGGTGGGGTTATGCTATGGGGCGTGTTTGTGTTGGGAAGTGACTTCACTCACAGTCGACGGTCATGAGGTGATGCCCTGAACAGACGCCTTCATCATCTGATCAAGACATTTTTTTTATTGAATACAAAATTATACATACAACCAAGGCAAACGTATTCATCTACAGTGTCTAATAAGAACGAATAAAAGGCTCAACACAGTTTAAAGGAACACTCCACCGTTTTTTGAAATTGGGGTTATTCACTGTCTCCGCTACATTTAGATATGTGGGCAAATACATTTTTGTCTCAGTGCATGCATTGTCTTAGCCTGGCAGTGTTCTGTTCAACATAGTTTTCTATGTCAGTGGCTGCAGAGATAAAGTTGAGATGCAGACTCGCCACCTTCGCAGTAGTGAACGCGCCTATAGAGAGAAATGCACACTTCATATGAATTAGCCTATAAGCAGGGAGCAGACAAGTTCTTTTAGTTTTTAATTATTTGGTTTAAAAGTAGACATTTCAAGCTTTCTATACTTCTCAGGTATGTGAGACAAGTAGCCTATCTTATACGCTGAGTTTCGGTTCATTTATGAGACGCTCCAGTTCACGCGCGGGCGCCTCCGTGTCCTGATTATATTCCCTACTAGCCTATTTGCTTCTTATTTATTAATACAGCCAATTTGTTGATGAAACATTGATTAAAATGACGATACAATTGTAGTTTGAAGTTTGCTATTGAAGTTAGAAACGTGTATACCAATGTCATATGTAACCTTAGAGACAGTAATTAAATGTTTGTCACTCCTGAAACTCTGCAGTATACATGGACTTTAATCCTCTTAGAAGCATGTCAAACAACACCTTTCTTCAAGGAGCGAATGGATTATATACGGAAAGCAGGCAAAGAGCACTCCCTTTATAGCACAACTTACTGAGCTGACTCATGGGAAAACTCCTGTTATAATTAATGAATCGAACTACACACTGCACAATGAATCTCCAATTTACATTGTGTCTATGCTTTGTCATAAAGAGAATGTGCGAGTGTGTAGAACTCAGTCAGTAAACTTGTGCTAAACGAAAATTAATAAAGTGTTTTAAAAGGATAATGAGCGGATTCTAAAGTAAACACCTCTGACTGACCATTGATTTCAACAGTCATTCCTGTTATTGGCTACAAAACTCGATGCTGCAAAAACATGTGGTAAACAGAAGCCTTTGTAATTAGAAACCAGAGCGCGCACACACAAATATGCACAGGATCGAAAAAAGCAGTCGTCTTTGAGCAAGTCCAGAATTAAGTTGGTATTACTGGTACTGTAAAAAGCACCCCCACCCCTCAACCAATTTTTGAAAACTCATCAGATCTACAAATGACCTATTCTGCATTCAAAACAAGTTTGCATCCCTGACTTGATGAAAAACCTATCGACTTGACTTGAGTAAGGTTGAGTACTTTACCTCCCATTCCTCATAGAGACGGATGAGGGTGGTGTACTCGCGACAGCGCAGGCACAGGAAGTCAAAGAGCAGCAGCATGCAGAGAGGGTCATTATCTGGATCCAGACTGAAAGCATAATTAACAAATCTAAAAAAAAAATGATCTGTCAATGTTTAACACAAAACATCTGGCTGGCTGAATGTGGCAATACCATGGTACAGCGATGGTGTCAGATGGTATTACCACAGTCTCAGCACCTTTTCAGACATTCTAGTTGGCTGTTTTAATTTTAAAATGTTGGGAAACAGCTGTTGTTTTAATACACATCCATATTTATTGAGGCAGTGTGAACTAGCCTTTACATGCTAAGGTACTTCAAAATATCTTGGAATTACTATGGTACACATGGTGGTATCATGGTTCAGTATAAGGAGTGTATGAAGAAATACTATGAGATTATAATTAATTATAAGTAGTACACTCTACAACAATATTGATTTTTTGGGTAATTGGGTAATGACGAGCAATGGATGATATAAGATATCACACCATTCAATTTAAAGATAGTAAAAACACATGCATTAATTACAATTGCTGAAATTAAATGTATATTTACTATACAAAATATTTATTATATCAGAAATTAATCATTTGAAAATGAATATTTTTTTTTTTTTAAATAAAACTTTGAACATGATAAAAAATATATCTGTAAAATAAACAGATTTATACTTTACTTTGCAACTTAACATCTGTACAATTTAACATAGGTATTGTGTTAGGACTCTAGATAATGGATTTTGTATTATGAATGTGATAAGTTAATCATATTATTCTAATGTGGTCTGATACCTCAGAATCAGTTTGCAGTACTCTAGGGCTGTGCGGGGACAACCTCTCTTCTCCAGAAATATTACATGCTTGAACAGCACCAAATAAAAAGCCCTGCGGATACAGAAAAGAGTGAGAGAGATTGAGTCAAATGTTATGCTTTCTCTTCATGGTGCTCTAATGCCTAGTTCACACTACCAACTTTAAACGTCGGCAGATCGCTGTGCTGTTTAGACTACATGACTTGCTCTGGAGTCTTGAAGTCGTTGTGGTGTTCAACCTGTCGGCGAGCTCGTTAACTTGCAAATCGGCTTTAAATCCTGTAGTGTGAACTAGGCTTAAGGTTCTTTAAAGAAAACCATGACAATACAGCATCCAAAAAACAATGACAATGGTAATACCATTAAATCTTCGATTAAACTTTTTCACACAGCCTTTGGTCTCACCTGTTCTCTGGTCTGTGATAGTCCAGTCGACACATGCCAGACGTCAGGCTGAACACAGGGTGGAATGAACACTCAAAACTATATAAAGCCCTTTCTGCAGAGATGAACAAAACGAAAAGCTGTATATATCTGTCCATTTTAAAAACATTAGCATACATCTCTAGCTTATGTCAAAAATAATTTATTTCAACGTCAATTTATAGCATGAAAAACAGTGTATTTTCAGTGTCTCAGAGCAGCTTGGTTCATAGTAAAGCCGGTTTCACACAAACTCTATTTCTGCAAGTGCAGTGAGTTTGAGTCGCTTATGATGTCCATCTTTCCAAACTTGTAATGAGAATCATTTATAAAAGACCTTAGTCAGGGTAGTGCCATATTAGATTTTTGACAAGAATGAAAACGAGGCTGTGAGGGGCAGAAGTGCAGTGCATTAAAGTGGATTGTACTATTTTGTAAATAAAAGCCTAAAATCAATCTGTTCATCATATAAAGCGATCGCGTCTCCTCTGAAAATTTGGACTAAACCACTCAATTCATATGGATTAGTTTAACGATCTCTTTATGAACTTTTTAATGCATCAAAGTGGTAGTCAATGGAGAAACAGAAAGCTCTCAGATTTCAACAAAAGTTAGGGGCCACTATTGCTCGTATCTTAGGTTTAAATACAGGTATGTAGTAGAAAAAGATAGAGAAAGCATGGTTCTGTTTCATAGGTTCACTCAATGCTGCATAGCCGTCGCTATGGGAATACCTTCGATGTGACGAATGTCTGAAGACCTTATACCATCACGTCATTTAATGGCGGCCTATCTGATTGTTGTCTCTGTGTTTGTATGTGTTGCGCTCTAGGCTTGTTTCCTTTCCGAGGAAAGATGTTCGTCAACCCCCACTGTCCCAGTTCTGCGGTTGCCGAGGCGCCGCACGAGCTGGACGCTTGGTGTGACTGCGATGAGCCTAAGTGTATGGAGAGTGAGCGAATGGAATTTCCCTTTCTCTCTCTCTTGCTCTCTTCCCGGATCATATGCGTTCAACAAACGAGTGCTTCGTGAATCCGGCGGTTTATTCAAATCTGATTTCCTCTCTGGAAGCTCGTAAATCAATTCTTTCTTCTGTGGACCAGATGATGCATGCTCCACAGCGGCCTTGGACTCTGAGGAGCTCGTAGGTGATTTGTATGGTGCTCCGAGTGGACACAAGAGACGCACTTCTCCATCCTGTAACGAAATATTGGATGTGGTGACATGCGCTGTAGATAAGCTAGGAGTTTAAATAGGCGAGCTGACGGATATTCCCCCTTTCTCTCCCCTAGATCAAGTTTCTCGTGTTTATTAAACAGCGCGAGAGGCATTAATGCAGGCATGTGCATTTGATATGGCGCTTACGTTTCCAACACTTGTTTCGTGTGGCTGCTTTTAGGCGCAGACAGTTCTGCAGCAGACATTTTCAATCAATCAATCACATTTATTTATATAGCATGTTTAAAAACAACACACGTTGGCCAAAGTGCTTTACATACAGCCCAGCACATATAATCTAAGATTATAAAACAAAGTATAAAACAATTACAAAATCTTAATTACAATCAAATGCAAGAGAGAAGAGATGAGTCTTTAAATGAGATTTAAATGCATCAAGGGTGGCACAAGATCTAACATGGAGGGGTAAACTGTTCCATAAACAATGAGCTGCAACAGAGAAGGCCCTGTCTCCTTTTGATTGTAGTCTAGACTTTGGAATGGTTAACTGGAAATTTTGTACAGATCTTAAAGGCCTAGAGGATGTATGTTGCTGAAGAAGTTCACTAATGTAACTTGGTGCCATCCCATTTAAGCCCTTAAAAACAAATAATAACATATTATACTTAATCCTAAATTTGACTAGAAGCCAATGAAGGGATGCTAGTACAGGTGTTATACTCTCATACTTCCTAGTCCCGGTCAAAAGCGGTCATTCTGAACAAGCTGCAGACGTGAAAGTGATGCATGAGAAACACCATAGTACAATGAATTACAATAGTCCAATCTGGAAGTAATAAAAGCATGCATAACTTCCAAATCAGTAAAAGACAAAAAAGGTTTCAATTTCGCTATATTCCTTAATTGGAAGAAGCCACCTCGAACCACTGAATGTATATGCTTATCAAACTTTAACTCCGTATCAAAAATAACTCCAAGACTCCTAGCTTGATTATGTACCTTCGATTTAAAAAGGCCTAATTGATTAATTATATGTTTAGTAGAACTCGGAGGGCCAAACACCATCACTTCAGTCTTTGATTCATTCAAGTGAAGAAAATTGGCTGACATCCACTCCTTAATATCATTAAAACAATCAAAAAGAGACTGCAGGGCTGAATTATTTATTGGTAGATAAAGCTGAGTATCATCGGAGTAAAGATGATAATATACATTATGTTTTTTACAAATATCAGCCACTCTCTTAGACGCTCCAACAGTATAGCGTGAACTAAAGTATCAAATGCAGCAGTCAAATCAATTAAAACCAAAATTGCACACTTTCCTGAATCGACAGCCAGAAACAAGTCGTTTGACACTTTGAGAAGGGCTGACTCTGTACTGTGTTGATAAAATTGGTTTAAACTCACTTAAATGATGTACTAATGAGGGTGGAGTAACAATCAAGAATGAGGCCTGAAGGTATAATACTAACTGTACTAAGAGCATCAACTGTGTTAATGAAATACTCTAAAAAGTTTTCACATGTTATCTGAGTAATATCAAGGCCTGTTATGACAGGATTTAAAACTGAGTCTATTGTCTTGAATAACGCTTTAGGATTATTTGGAATTTTCTTAATAAAAATCAGAGAAATATTTTATCTTTACAGTTTTAGCAGCCTACTGATATTTAATCATAGCATCCTTCAGTATGTCGTAAGACACCTGCAACTTATCTTTCTTCCATTGCCTCTGCTTTCCTCCACACTTGTCAGAGGCAGCGGGTGTCATTATTAAGCCATGGCTGAGGTTTGGATTTTGCACTTATGATTTTAAAAGGAGCACACATGTCCATAATTTCATTACAGATGGAATTGAACATTGGCACTGTATCATTTAAACCCAGACCAAAAGATAGGGACCCTGGGGTATGCAGTACTGAAAATAATGTATAAGCATTTGAAAACTCACTGGCTGTTGAAGGTTTTATCGAACGGACATACCAGCCTAGAGGCTTACAATTTAAAGATGAACTAGAAACTGAAATATTGAAAATAACTGGATTATGATCAGAGAAACAGGCATTCTCAATATCTATATTCCAGACAGGAACAGGAATTTTGTAGTGCACTATGGTTTTGGTGCTTCATACTACCAAACATTTGTCTGCCCGAACAAGCAATGTTGTACCATTTCTTTCAGCTCCGCTGCTGCATTGAACTGGAACTAACAAGTGGACGAGTTCACGTTGTGGTGATTTAAATATTAATGTGGTGGTCTTAAATATTAATATTAATACTTAGTATTTTGGTCACTTAGGTGAGTGTGAGAGTGTCAGATTATTCCTTCCTATATTAGCCAAGGATATTCATTTTTGGGAGATTGTTGATTGAATTAGAATTATATAAATTGGAGGAAGTTCGTCATCTGACCAATTTGAAGGATTTGTGAGATATCGTCAACCTCTAGAGCCTCTTACTGTATTATCAACACAAGGAAGACAAGTGTAATAAAAGGATTTTATTAACAAAAGAATAGACACGAGCAACTAACAACTACTGAATGGAAGTGCAAAAAAGATTGATAAATTCAAGTGAATGAGTTGGATGTACTATGGCAGTTACAAATCGAGACATTATTTGTTATCTGACATCAGCTATGCAAAATCTAATGTAAATTAGATAATCATTTACTACACTAATGCCAAGGTCTCTGGAAAGAGATTGGTAAAGTGATATTTACTGAGACATGCTGAGTCTGAGAGGCGACGTCTTGCACTTGCTCAGCTGGGGTGCATTGCAGTGGGAAGAAAGGAGTTGGAATCCGTTTCACAGCCTTGAACACGAAGTACTTGTGAACGTTAAACTCCTGGAGCACAGAGAAGGTCCTTATTCTGGAACATGCAGATGAAGTAGCCTTGAAGTTGAAGATTCTAACGTCTGTGCAGACGATACTTATAATCTAGAACATGCAGATGAAGGATCACTGAAGAGAAGATTCTGAAATTGGTGCAGAAGATCCGAGCAATCTGGAACACGCATATGAAGGATCCTTAAAGAGAAGATTCTGAAGTTGGTGCAAAGATCTTGAAAGTGGGGGCGCTAAGCTTGTGGTCGTTGCTGTTTTCAAACTCCCCAAATTCACTTCTTGCTGAACTTCTTTGTTTCTCTCTTTAGAGCTTCAATGTCTTGAGAGAGCAACTTCACAGCTCCATAGAGTTGCACTTAGAGCGTAGAACATCTTGGAACTGCAAACTTGAACCAAAACCAGAACAACTCTTGTCTCAGAGGGAACCTTTTTAACCTCTCCTGAGAAGGAGGGATTTGCAAATTGGCGGCTTTCGGAATCAACGTTTGATTGGCTGATGCTGTCAGAGTATCTGGCATCCCAACGTATCTCTGGCATGAGGTTCATTTGCATAGCTTAAAGTTCATGTTTAGAACAATGTCTTTAAGGTTTTTCCTATGCATAATTCACTTTTCAAACCAATTCCAGATTAACCTAGACATTGTGCTGAAAAAATAAAGACTAAACATCATTGGGTAATATTGAACTTTTACCCCTGCATTCATACCTTAATAGGTAAGTTTGTTTATTTTGCATGTACACAAACAACACTCATTAAGTATATTATGGATGCACGATATATATATCGACCACATATCGATATCGACCGATAAACGTAATTTTTTATGTTATCATTATCGATCCGATAAGAAAATTAGGCCGATATATTAAAGCCGATAGATAGTGGATTATTTACTTAACGCTGTTCGCCATGATGGTTTTGAATTGATATGATTGGAATCACTTCGGGAAGGAAGATACAGTTAAGTGCAAGACAAATCTGTCATATAGGCTTCATAACATTATAATGAGAACACGACTGTAAAAGAATATTGTTCACCAGTGTTTC